ATGGTGGCAGGAGGAGAGAGAGAGGGACCGCCACACCCAAGGTGACATTTCAGGGTGTAGCATGTCCAGGTAACAACGCCAGTGTGTGGTGTCAGGAGCATTTCGGGATGTGGATGGAAGGGCAGATCAGGGCCTGAGTGCAGCAAGAAGGACTCTGCAAATGCTTCAGGCTTCGTCTTGTGTATTCTAGGCCATGACTAAATATGTGGGAAGAGGGGATAAGGTACAAATGGAGGAGGGAGCAAACACCTCACATACCATCAGAGCAGGTGGAGAGGCAGAGCTCACAGGCCTACTGACTGATGGGAGATGGGGCGGGACCAAGGCCGCCTGGCAGGGGCTAAATTGATGAAGCCTGCTGGATGACTCATCCACATGGGGTCTTAGGAGCCCCAGTGCAGGGTAACATGTACCTCAGACACCTTTCCTGACTAACTCCCTTTACTGGGTATCTAACTCTGTCTTTTACTACCAGAGTCAGGAAGGGGGCCCCAGAATCTACCCATTTCCTCATTATCTACTCCATGGCCACCCAAGATGGTGCTACAATACAAACAATCGCCAGGTGGCCAATAGACAGAGGATGCTGTACAGTAAGTTCTGAAGAGAGTTGTCCTGTTGGCCTGGTGTCTCTTGGGCCCTCAGTCAGAGCCAGGCCTTGGGCCCAGCCAGAGAAGGGGACAGGGTCCCAGATGCCTGGTGATAGCCGGGGCCTAGATCCAGGGCTGCACCATTGATGAGCAATTTCCACATGCAATGGAGTCACTGGCTTTAGCACTGGAAAGCACAAGTGTGCATTCAGGTACTGCCCTTTAAACGGTGTGACCTTGGGTGAGTCATCTGTCTCTGGGCCTTCACAATTCAAATGACTAACCCTTCATCTGTCCATGCCGTGGCATGTGGCTCACGAAGAGGTGATGGTGGTTGTTGGAGTTGCCTGTACGCTACTCAGTGTGCCCTGGTCTTAATGTCTCCAGTGGAGCAGATGCTGCTCATCTGTGGACCACACTGTGAGTCGGGCTCTAGAGCACGATGAAAGGAAAGAATCATTCTTGCCTGGACCATGGTTTCTTTTGTCAGAAAAGGAGAGATTTCTGAGTGAACAGCTTGTGGGGTGACTGCCTGCCCTCTTCCAGCAGGAGGACCGACTTAGTTTCCTCCCCTTCCCTCATGAGTACCATTAACTTTGTCCTGGGGTCTAAGATGACCCAGAATGAAGGGTCATCTTGGACCCCGGGATATCAAGGGAAGACTAGGGCAAACTCATAAAAGCTCCTCTTCCTGGACTGTCCTTTCCCCACTGCAGCCGGGATGCCTCGGAGGCAAATCAGAGCAGTGGCTCCAGGCTCAGGAATGTGGGCATCCTGGTGTGAGTTCTCCTGAAAGCCTGGGTGGCTTAATGGCCTCGTGCCTGATAGGGAAAAGCTATCACACTGACTTGAAATGGCTTCCCCCAAATGAACAGAGATGTTCCAACTAATAATGTTCTCCAAATGAAACAACTAGTACCAAGGTGCCCCTACAGGCTCCCTGGTCCCCATCTAAGACCCTGACGCTCACAGGCTATCCCACACACGGAGGACAAGTGGCCACATTCACTCCAGAAATAAGTGTTGAGCACTTACTATATGCCAAGCACTGTGCTGGGAGCTGGGAGGGCCATGGCACAGTCCTTGGTTTCAGTAGCTCATCTTCTAGCAGAAGAGACAGGCATAGAAACATATCATTTCCATGCAGCGAATGTGATCAGAGCAGTCCCTTCCAGGCACCGTGGTGTCCCTGAGGGAGAGCCCGAAACCCTGGGGAACCTTGAAGATGTCAGAGACCAGGTGGTGTCTGGGATGGGGTTTGGAGGAGTGGGAATCTCCCAAACAGAGAAAGGGACAGGTTGAGTTAGAGCAAAAGGAGAAGAAAGAGCCACAGGGTCGGGGACAGGCCCAGAGGTGTGAGAGAAACACCGAGAAGTGAAGGGCGTGGAGGGCCGAGAGAGCTGGAGGCTGGCGGGTCTGCTGAGGGGGGGCTGTGAGCGCAGGAAGCCTGGACTCTACCTCGACATCTGTGGACAGCCAGAAGACTTTAGGAGAGGAACAGAGGGAGAGAGGACAGAGCAGATCTGTGCTTTAGAAAGAAGAACAAAGGCAGTGATGAGAATACACTGGAAATGAGAAAACCTATATGGCTGGGAGCCCATCTTGGAGGAAGGTTGAGACTTGTGATCAATCAAGCCCCTGGCTTCACTGGGCCGGTGACAGCGATGGTTCCCCAGCTCAGCCTCTTGATCAGAGGCAGCTTCCTTCCTGCACTGCGTGTGCAGGATGCTGCCGGACAATTCACTTGGGCCATTTCACGGGATCCCCCCAAACCCTGAGAAGTAGGGATCATGACCCCATTCCACAGAGGAGTTACCTGGAAAGTCACACAGCTGGCAAGTGGCAGGGCTGGGTTGCTGTGGCTCCACAGCCACACCCTCTACTTACCTGGGCTTTCAAAAGCCCACGGGGCGCAGGGAGGACCATGGGATGCTAGGTTTCCACGACTTATGCCAGCTTGTGTCAAACTTACAATTTGGCTGCTAAAGTTCCACCAATCCTTGGCTTTTCTCTAATGAGGCGTTTTTCATAGGAAATACCAAAAAGATGGACTGTGTCTTCCCCTCTCTCCCTCTTGAGCATTTTGTTTCACTCTCAGGTGCTGGTCGCTAACCTCTGGGATCCATGGCGCTGGCTGGGCTGGGCTGCAAGCTCCCTTCAGACCAATCCCCACCTCCCTCCCTCAGACTCTTAAAAGCTGATATCACTTCGCTCCAGGTCCACCTCCTCACTGGACAATGAGATGGGAGCTCTCCTTCCCTGAGGCAGAAGCAACCATGAAGTCAGCCAGCATGTCAGTCCTTCCACTCCCAGCCACAGTGGAGGGGAAGGTTCCAGAAGTGTGGCTGCTAGGCTTGTAGAAGTTGGTGTCAGATGAGATTCATTCATACCCCGGGATGCTCGGAGCTTTGATAAACCTTCACTCTCCTGGAGGAGTCAGGCAAATAGGAAGTGATTCCTTCTCATCTTCTCTTGACAAAAATCCACTTTGGCTCCTGTTCCTACCACCTAAATCCACAAGCATTTCCTGCTGCAGCAGCGCGTGCTCACAAGGAAGAGAGCAGGCAAGGCTTCCCAGGCTGGGGGTTGCGGGGGGGGCGGGGGGTGAAGGCTTCTGAGAGACCGACCTCCCAGCCAGGCAGCAGCGTGAGTGGCAGGCAGGGGCTCCGCTGGCTCCAGCAGCAAGCAACGACCCTACGGACTACAGGGCTCTAGGGCGCAACAGTCTGCAGGGCATAGACAAGGCCATACACAGAGGTCATAAAACAAAATTTATCTTTAATTTGTAAGTGTCAACAGCAGTACAAAAGATGGAGTGATGACGACTAGATTAAGGGTAGAGAGGACAGTCTTGAGGTAAATGAGCATAAATAGGCAGTTCGTATAGACACTCCCCTGAGGGGCCTGGGCCCCATCATGGCATGTACATTATCACCCAAAGATGGCATGGTTAACATATCAGGAAAGCACCTTGTGCAAAAAGGGGGAAAAAAAAGTAGCTAAGGTGCCAACATACACCAGGATAGAGAAAGACAGCGTGTCTTTCCATTTTGTCTTTTCCCTTAATTATGAGGCAGGGGGTGGGGGGAGAGACTTCGAAAAGTACCACTGAAAGATTATTCAATGTTGAGTTTTGTCTCACATCAATACTGCACAGCAAAATCCAAGAAGTTTGTGTATGCAACAAAGCTAAGAACAATGATTCATTCCTTTAAATTTGAAGAGATTCTATTTTTCCCCCCATTTCTTTAATCCTTAGCAAACTTTTTTCCCCATTATCAAGAGGAGAGTGTGAGAAAGATGTGATGGCAACCCTTAAGGTCATTTAAAAACTTTACACTGGACTGTACAAGATTTTTTTTTTGATAAACTATTTACATTTTCAGACTTTCAAACATATTCAAAGCAGCAATAGACACTAGTTTTTATGGTTTTTGTTTTTTCTAATTGCCCAAATAGTTACCAGCCATGGGCCAAGTAGGTACCTGCGTTATACATAGAATTTCTACAAAGAAAATCTGCAGTTAAGATTTGCTCAAGGGTGTGTTATGTGCCGTTGGCGTTTCCAGGGCCACACCCGCAGTGTTGCTACAGGAACCAAAGCACAGTACCTTGACAACAGAGTTGCAGTTGTCCCAACAGCCCTACACACACTTTACACTTTGAAACAGCAGCCAGCATGTCAGTCCAGCATGTCAGTGAATTGTGCTGATTAAATTAACATAAAATACAATCTCACAATATACATCACAAACAAATTACAATGTCGGGAAATAAAAGAGTTACAGTCAGATAAGTTATGTAGTAATAGCTTATAAGCTTGTCTACGGTAATAAAAATTTTACATGGCAAATACAATAATGCATAAACATAAATGCTAAGCATTCTAATTTGCTACACGCTGGAGAAGGTTACAATAAAGACTGCACTTTCCAAAAAGCAAAAAACACATATGACAAAGGAAGACGAACGGAGAATGCACACGAGCAGACCTGCAATGTGCAGCATACACAACAGTTAAATATTTGCACATTCCCCATACTCCAAGAGCACCAGCGTTGAGGCCTCACTTTATGCTTGTGGTTCTTCAGGAATAAGAAACTAGTGAGCAAGATATGTCACTGAGTTGCCGTCAAGCTTTCATATTGCCACGGACACCAATGAGAAGACCTGCACTGTTACCCGTCTGCCCCTCCGCCCCCGCCCCCCCACCTCTAGCCCCACTCCAAAGGTACCAGCACTTCTAATACTTGTTCATGAGCTTTGGGAAAGCAATCTGTCCCCAAAGGAAAAGATGGGATGGGGATGAAAAGGAAATGTGTTTGCATATCAATATTTTCAATGATATCAGCAGAGGGTTATGCTCAGTAATAGTATAGGGCATCGGAAACAGAACATAATCGGCATGAATAACAGATAGAAGTTGTTTATTAAGGAAGAAAACACGTCGGTGGGGGAGGGGCCAGATGACTGAAGGAAACGATGCAAGTGCTTTTGTAAGAGGACAAATGAGGTCATACAACATTATACTTTGAGAAGTGAGCTTAAGTGCCAACTCAGTCCTTAGACAAACGTGTACAGAATCAGGCAAAGCTACAGCAACCACTCTGTTATTTTCTCATCAAAAAGGAAGACCCAGAAATAATTCCAATACATTCATCTAGCTGCACTGTTTGCAGTTGTTGGCACTTGGTACAGGGCTTCTCGTATGATTTAAAACTACTAAGTGATTCTTTTTCCTTTCCCTAATGAGTCAGTAGAGGTCACCTCTTTGCAACATCAGTAAATTGAGATAAGCAGCCTGGGCTGTGGTGTTCAAGTGACCAGGCTCCCTTCCTACTGGGGGCAGATGGACTTCCTCGAAACAGTCCCTGCTTTCAGCTAGTGCCTGTGCTCCTGGCTCTGGAGGGTGTGCTCCCAAGAAGAAGCGGCAGGGCTTCATGAGGAAAAGAAAGAAGCCTTTAATTTCAGCCCTGGGGTGATCACACCCTTTTCAAACACCCAGGCTCCAGTGGGGCCAATGTTCAGGGGAGGCCAGGCTTTGACAAGCTCAATAGCACTGAGCCCACACCTGAATTTAGAACTTGGCCTTCGAGTCGGTGTCAGGACCCTGGCAAACAGAATCAGGCCTGAGGACAAGGCTGGGGAGTATCAAATACCAAATGAAGCAAACTGATGCGCTCCTAAAAGGTTGAGCTGGGTACATGTGAAAACAACAAAGCTCTCATACCTTCTGGAAAAGATACTGCATCACATGTGCCAGTGAAACAGAGAAACTGCCAGCCTGCTGCTCCTGTCCACAGATTAGCTTGTTCTCGTTCCCTCTTTCTTTTTTCTCTTTCCTTGCTTTTTTCTCTTCTTTCTTTCTTTCTTTCTTTCTTTCTTTCTTTCTTTCTTTCTTTCTTTCTTTCTTTCTTCTTTTTTTCTCTTTCCTTCCTTCCTATTTTTTATGGTCCAATTTTAGGCTAGGATTGTCTGCCAGTGTCCCTATTCTAAGTGACATGGAAAATCCTAATCCTGTAAATTCTTTACCAAAATGGAGAACATTTTTATCTCTGATTTGAATACACTATGAAATAAAAAGCACTGAAAAGAGTTTATTAATAATATTTCCTTTAATTGGCATGGTGGGACTTTAGTTCATGACCAATCTCAGGGGCAGATTTTTGCTTTTATAACATCATTCACGCTTCTTGCTATAAATGGTCACAGAGTTAACTTACTCAATTGATGTGGATTCACAAAGCAAACGGACTCTCCCCCAGCTGCCCTGGACATGTGGTACGCTCCATTCATCGACTTTCTATGAGAAAAAAAGCCAAAGTCTGAGTCTGCGGACAGTGGGTTCTAACTGCATGAGGCCCGAGTGAGGGGCTGTCTTGCCCCAACGCCAGTGGGACGCTGCACTCTCACCATGGCTGGTAACCCACTACCCCCACACGGTGCAGTGACTCCTCAACTTCTAGTCTGGACCAACACATACGGATAGAGAACAAAAAGGAAATACATAACTTATATCTCACTAAGTATTCATGAACCAAAAATAAATTCTATTTCTATGTTATATTTACACAATTAGAAAAAAAATCTAAAATGAGATGGTAAAGTCATAAAAAACTTTGTTTAAGCCCCACTGCAAAGAAAATGAAGTGATCCCTATGATTGTCATTCTTAATTTCTAAGGATTTTTAGAGCCAGACTTGGCTAATAAATAGAACAAACTGCTTATGCGCAGAATTTAGATTCAAATACAGCATCACTGTTTGACCCAATGCAAGGGTGTTTACAATCAGATCATTCCTGAATAGCCTTTCATTTTCGAGAGCACGACTAGAAGTAACTGAACCCCAGTGCTGGGGCAGAGCTGGAGCTAAAACAAAGTGTTCATACACACATGTATTTTGCATAAATAAATGAAATAACAAGACATAAAAATGACTCAAATCCGGCAACTGTGAGGCAAGCCCACACGAGTCGAAACAGATGACTTTTGTTCATGTAGTTTTCGTACAACAGTTTCACATTAGTCAGAAGTGATAAAAAATACCATTTATATCCAGTGCTTATAACACTTACGAAACAACATCTGTGAGTGTGTGTGTTTTTTTGTTGTTTTTGTTTTGTTTTGTTTTGTTTTACTACAAGCGAAATCAAGTTTCAGTCCTAAAGAACAGTCCTTTGTTCTCCACCAGCCCAGAATATTATTTTGGCATGGTCATAAAACAAACAAAATTAACCTACTATTCTAAATGTTTGCCTCTGTGCAAAATTAATTACATACATTACAATGCTAGCCATACAGCACTCTACCTATGCAACAAAATAAAAAAGGAGTGGAGAGGGCAAAGCAAAGTCAAGGAGGATGAGAAAAAAACATGAGGATGAACGAGGAGGAGAGGTATACGTTCAAAAGAAATCAGTAAGACAATAATAAATACTCATTTTTTAAAGAAAAATGACCTCCTCCTCATTTGAAATAAATGTACAAAAACAAAGTTCCAATCCCCAACCAATATTAAGAACAAAATATACCTATCAGTACCTTAATCAGCTTATGGAGAGCACTCCCAGCTAACGATGTAGCTAGTATATTGTGGCTAGAGCTGGTTATTGCTATTAGGTATGGCCTTGAGCACTCTTTAAATAAATATGAAGGTACACTATTTTCTTCCAAGTGACAAAAATGGCTCAAGAAATCTGATGGGGCTGTTCCTATGTTCTGGTGATCAGATTCTGGATTGTCCTGTGAGGTGAACTGTCCCATCTGCAGACATTCTCCAACTGAACCACTCTGGTGATGGCTCCCCTCCCCCATAGGCAATCAGGCCAAGATCCCTGTGAGGAGGAGATGGGGAATCCAACCTCACTGCCTCCCAGCCCATCAGCACATCTCCAAAAAAGTCCTTGTGTGACAAGTGTAGTTAATCTTGTTCACACGGAGGCCACAGTCAGAGGACATGAGCCCGAGGAACTCCTCTGCTGCCCCAGGAGTGATCTGTTTCCAGAGTTAACAGTGGAAACATCCCCTGTAGAGAATGTATTTCCCCTCCTTCTCCTTCCCTAAGGTTTTCTTTCACCCTCTGGATGTATCATGACTCTCTGCCTCTGTCTTTTCGTAGAGGCTGTCACGTGGCTTCTTGCATCCTGGGGATTTTGCAAAGAACTCCCTAAATGGGCCAGATGGGACAAGGCAACTCAGTGTAAAGATGCCAGCCCGAGACAGCGTCACTGTGGCCTCCTCCATGGCCCCCAGCCTTGGGCTGTAGGTTTGGCTGCTGGACTTCTCTGCTGGGAGTCACCACCGTTGACCCTTGCTGCTGACCCTTGCTGCTGAGTGACATTCAGGGCAAATGCCGTGGAGGCAGATCCTACCACACTGCTGAGCTGACTTAGGGGGAAATTCTGGCAAGAGACTTGGGGTCACAGCAAACCTCAGGGGCCTAGCTGTTGAAGTGTAAGACTCTGCACCTGTATCCAAATACACAGCCCTGCAGCGCGATACACACTCATGTTTAAAAACAACACGAAGGTATTTGATAGTACCTTGTTTCAGAAATGCTTCCAGATGCTCTGGGGACAAAATCACTATGTACATCTTTTGTATCTAGCAGGAGAAGGAGGTGGAAGGGCTGAAAAGTTCTTTGGGGAAGGAAGGTGAAAAACAAGAATTATTAAATTAATGCCACCAACAATTTTTTAAAAAATAAATAGTAAGTGGACCCTTGACATTCTGGAATGAATAAATTATTTAAGAAAAAATGTGTTAAGACTGAATGTCAGGGTTAAAGGCAAAGGGATGATGGATGTAGTGAGAGGTGGTCTCGGGCAGAGGAGACCACCATGTCGGTATCTGGTGTGGTGATCGCTCTGGTGTGCACACGTCATATACACGTCACACACTGATGGCACATCAAGAGGCAAACACGATTGGGTACATGCACTGTGGCAACCTTGTTCATTCCTTTCAATATCTTGTCTCCAGATTCCTGAGTACTTTACCATTTTTCTGGAAAAAAAAATGTCTGGTTTGCTATTTTATTTTAAGATGCCAAAGATTGTCTAAGACTTTGCAGTGTCTCCTTTAAGACTTTTCAAAATATTAAGATTCAAAAGTGATGAAAAAGTTTGGCACATTCAAAGTTTAACTCTACACATGGACACATGGAATTCTGAGGCCTTTTGAATATGCTCTACATGCAGCTGCACACGCCGTGGACTTGTTCTGTTTCACAAAATGAAATCCTCAGTTATTTTCTAAAGTAATTCAGAATAAAAACACATTCACAACCTGTAGGCCGGCACAGCATACCTGAGTGAGAATGTTTAACCCCATCTAAAACAGTAACTTAAACCTTTATCAACATCCAAAAGAAAAAAAAAGTAAGACAAAAATATAAGACTTGTAAGACAGCTATGGGTTGAGATAAGTTTTCAAGTCCTGGTGTCTCATATTTAATATGTCTTCACCTAAATTTAAAAAACAACAACAACAATAACAATAACGACAAAAAACTCAAGTTCATGAAAAATCAGGGAAAACTTAATCTGTCTCACACTTTACAAAATAATTAAGACCATTCTGCTGATGTAATTGTGGAGCCACAAATGCATGCGGGCTCTTTAAGAACTTTTTGTTGGGGAAGGGGAGATGAAATGTCAGAGTATTTTAATTCAGCAAACAAATACTCCTCAGTTGGCACTGACAGCTTCTGGGGCTTCATTTTCGCTGCTATAGTCTGATTTGGGATCATCTTCATAGTCGTCATACATTTCCATTTCATCCTCTCCATTAATCATTTCATTTCCAGCTAGGCTTCCGCCATCTGTCTTCATGCCATAAGTGCTCTGGATGACCGGGAGGCTGGGCTCTGGGCTGGCAGAGGTGCTAGAGCAGTCAGATGTCATCTGAGGTGATGGTGTGGTCGTTGCCATAGTAATAGCACCAGGATACACAACACCTGTTCCTGTGGTGATTGGAATCTGAGGCTGTTGCCTGTATAGATTCAGAAAAGTAAAATAAAACAGGGGGAAATATTTATATATATGCTCTTCTGTGTGGCATTGAGAGTCATCCCCCATGTGTGCCAAAAGAGGGCCCTGTTTGACATTCTAAGCAAATGACAAAATGCGACAAAGGTGTTCCCTGGAGGAGTCCTGCGAATCTCTCTGATGCAATAGTTGGGGGTTAAGCAATACAATGGAGCGATTTATTGATGTTTTTGCTACATAAAAGCAGGGTACTTATAACATCACAAATTTGGCAAAGCTTGGGTAACAGCTGGAACAATTCCATAAAGTTACATGTGAGGTTGTTGTTTAAGATTCTCCCAGAACATTAAGAAAAGTAGACTGGTGACATGAGACATATTATAATGACACTGTTAAGTGGAGTTGAGAACTGTACAGAGGAAAGATCAAGATGAAAAAGGATCTGGTGGGTCCCAAAGAGTCAGATTTAACAAAGCATAGATTTAGTATCCATGCAAATGTCTATTTACTTCTGTGGCAGAACTTGTAGGGAAACTCTTTCAAGGAGCTTCTATTTTCCTAATTGAGGAAGGATCTTGGATGTCATTATTCCAGAGGCCCTGGGCTGGAGCTGGGGTTGGAGGAGTCAGAAGTGAAGAGCAGTGAGAGTTCTGCCACTTAACAGAATGACACACATTGACTGCCTCATCCTAGAACCTTGCAGGGGCCAAGGCCTGGTCAAAACGGGTCATTCCATCACGATGTTCCTCTAGTTAAAATAAACGTCCAGACCCTTTAGAAAGCTCAGTCTCTTAATCTGCAGGGAGACATGGCTCTCTGTCTCAATTGTCCTTGAGTCACTATAAAAGGTCAAAAGGATTAATCTCGTTCAGAGGCTACGGCTGAAACATCATTCTCATGGATGCAACAGTCACCAAGTTTTCGCAATCTTAATGTGCAGTGATTATAATTTAAATTTATTTCAAAACGTTACTGTAACTATCCTTTGTGAGCCTCAGTTTCCATATATTTATAAAAGCTGGGGTCAGGGGAGTTGTGGAAGGTCCTTTCACCTTCTAATACTCATGGCTTCAGGTCAGTCCATCACTTAAATGATTCTTATTGACCCTCCACATTATCATTGAAGCTTTCTGTCCACCTCAGTCTCAAAGGAAAGTACCCTGAATCAATGAATTAGCTTGGTTCCCAGCTATTCTTCAACATGTCCAGAGGAACATAATTTTCTCAAAAAGGCCTGCGTACCTTCCATCCTAGCAGAGGAGAAATGATGAAAATGGCCTAGAATCACTCTGTGAGATATCTGATGATGTTATCTTTAACAAACTCTTTCATTCCCTAGAAGGCATCAGAATGATCCCTCACCATTGACTAACATAATATATATAATATCTGTTCCCATCTATTGCCTCATTCAATTACCATGGCAGCCCCATGAGGTACTATTATGCTCACTTTTCAGATGGAGAAAACAAGGCCTACCAGCAGAGTCCTATGAACTGAGGTCGCGTGACTTAGATTCCATCACTCTTTTCTTTATAGATATACAAGCCATCATGCTTCTGTATCATAAAAATTCCCAATTCCTATCGATCCTGTTGTTATCCCACTAACACTAAGCACCTGTTATTGATCCACTCTCTGTGATGCTCATGGTGAATTTTTAAATGCCCGAAGGAGAAGATGATAGAGAAATCTAAATCTGTGTTTAGAAACATCTCATAAAATACTGATTTCCCTCTTAAAGAACCACATTCTAAGAACAGTACACTTCTGCTTCCTAAGTTTTGGGCAAATAAACACGAATATACTGTTATGCCAAACCTGCCCAAGGCAGTGAATGCCTCATTAAACATTTTACTGAATTTGGATAATTGCAATACAAATAATTTTGCCTTAATCACATAATGAGTGTGTAGAAAAATCTTTCACTGCAACAGTAAACCCATTTTACAGAATTCCCAATTTGGTGGGCTAATCTGTAAACACACTACATACCATACATGAGCTAGTGGAGAGCACACTTCATTTTCACAAAGGACATTTTCTCTTCACCAAGACTAGGTGGTCATTTTTTGCAGTGTTTTTAACTCAAAATATCAAATTTTAACTCTGCCAAATAAAATTTGAATTAAGCTCCTATGCTGGGGACCATGCTTAAATGCTTTCACCTTATCTTCTTTAATCTTCACAATTAGCCTTCACAATAAGCCCTCTTTCACAGATGAAGTAACCAATTAAGTTTCAGGGAGTTTAAGTTGCTTGTCCAAGGCCACACAAATCCCACAGCCAGGAGGCGAGCGCTTCCTATGTCATGAATGCTCTCCTGGATGTTGAGCATGGGGCAAGAAAGGCAAGCTCACACACCAGAAAGATACTGAGCAATTTGAATCAGAATCAAATTCTTTTAAGTGGGTTTCACATATTGAACAGTATTTGGACATTAAGTTGGTAATGGGTCACTAAAAATAAGTCAACAGACAAATAAAACACCTGTACAGCTTATTTTCTGGAGCAAGATGCATATGATATTCAAAAGCTTGGGTGGTTGAGTGATACTAGACGATGTCACCCACTGACCTATCTACTTTCTGCCTGGCCATTGCCCTCATTCCTTACAGATGTCAGGTCTTGGTTCACTGTGGCCCTCTCTCCAACATTACTCCTGCCTAATTCTTGATGACTTACTCTCCACACAGATGATCATTCTGACACATTGCTGTCTCAGTTTCTTGAACTTCTCTACACTCTGATCTGGCCCCCTCCCTGTATCAGTTGCTCACTCTCATGTCATAAGGCAGACCTTGTCATTTCCAACTACAACCTCTCCTTGACCTCAATTTTAAACATCCCACTCTCTGACCACCGCATCTTTCCAGTTTCTTCCTCTACTCCCCAGTTCAACAATTCTCCCACCCCTCAAGGATCTACAATTTCTTGAACCTTTAATCAATGCTCATTGTCCCTCCCTCTCATTGTGTCCTCACCATACTTATTACTATTTGATATTTATTTATTCTTTACCCAACATAAGTGCTGCAATTAGTCTCTCTATCACACAGATACTTTCTACATTCTTACCTGGGAAAACTTTCACTCTCTGGCAACTCTGTGACTACACCACTCAGCGGAACTTGGCTGGGAAAGCACACTGCCATGCTTACTAGTCTCTAAGTTCATGAGCATGAACTTGATCTTGACCTCTGGTGCTGTTCAGCCATCATTTTGCACTCTTTCTTCTACTCTGCTAGATAATGGTTGCATACCTTCTTAACTTCTCCTCCCCATCTCTACTCTCAGTTGATTTAGCTTTCCATTTCATGGGAAATTTAGAAGTAATCAGAAGGAACTTTTCACAAGCTCCAGTCATCACATTATCTGCTACCTGTCTATGTCCCTAATTCTCTTCATGCCTTCCTGTATTTGGGATCAATTCATAATCCAATGTGCTTGTGCACTGAATCTATCTGCTCTTGTTCTAGAGACCTCTTTCCAGGAGCTGTCTCTCCCCACATTATCAATTTTCCACCTTTCCTGGATTGTTCCTATCAGCACGTAAACATGCCATAATCTCCCCTGCTTTAAAACAAACAAACAAAAAACCGAAACACTGTTTCTTGACTGACATCCCCTTTCAGCTACTACTCTGTTTCTCTAATCCCCTTTTAAGCATAACTCTTTAAAAGACTGTATATATTCACTCTCTCCATTTCTTCTACTCAATTCTTTCTTAAAGCCACTTTCATCACTCCCAATACTCCACTGAGACAGAGTTTGAAAAGGTGACACTGCCAACGATCACACTGTGGAGAGCGGCTACAGCGATTGGACAGGTTCAAGCCTGGGACTAATGAAAGGACACGATCCTCTCGTGACAAAGCCACGTGCAAGTCCCAGCACAATTACAGCCAAAGGCTATAGTTGTAAGCTTGACCTTATGGTCCGAACCTGTAGCCCCATGTGGCTAAGTGATATGGGCTGCGAGAGGTGCAGCAAGTAAACAAAGCTTGATCAGATGCATGTAATTGAGTAGATTCGAAACCCACAAGAACATGGTAAACATCTTGACCACGCCCTCACTTTGCCTCGTAGAATCTGGCTATAAAATAAAGACTCAGTTACAGGCCGTGGTGCTGTCACTAGCTCTCCATCAGAGAGGACAGTGCCCCACCCATGTCCAGCTTTCTTCTTTTGTCTGTCTTTTCTCAATCTTTCACCACCCCCTCTCAGGCTCACCGAACCTGGCTGTGCTGGCGCAGCACATATGGCGCCCAACGTGGGGCTTGAGTATGGGGAACAAGGACCTGAGCTCAGGTTTACCTATGGCCATGCCAGCTCGGCACATTACACTGTTAAATTCAAAAGTCACCTTACTTGACTTATGCCATGAGCAGCATATGATACAGTGAATCACTTTTCTCTTTGCTGAAATACTTTATTCACTTGTCTTCCAAGACTACCCTCCCAGTCTTCTTCCTGTCTCATTAGCTGCTCCATCTAATCTTTGATGCATCATCCTCATCTTGCTGACATCTCAACACTGAAGTACCCATGGACTCAATCCTTAAACCTCTTCTCTTTTCAGTCTAAATTCATTTTCTTGGTGATCTTGTGCAATTCTGTAGCTTTAAGTATTATGTGTGCTGACAACACTCAAATTTATATCTATAGTAAGCACTATATTCCTAAATGCCAGTGTTTTATATGTAAAACTTATTACTATTATTATTATTATTATTATTATTGGATATCAAAATGCCATCTCAACCTTATAGGTATAAAACTAAACTCCTGATCATGCTTCCAAATATCTGATCTCATGGCCTTTCTGATCTTTGTTAATGGTGACTTCAGCTATCTGTTTGCTCAGGCCAATCCTTGGTCATCATATTTCTCTCAAACCTATATGCAATTCATCAGCAAATCCTATCAGTCCACTCTCAGTAATATATTCAGAATCTCTCCACTTCTTGTCACCTTCACCCCTATAAACCTGGTCCAAGCCAC